GGGCGAGCGCTGAGCCGCCGTCACGGTCGGGCAGCGGTGCGTGGGGCTGGTGTCACTGTCATTTGCACACGTCTGGCAGGAGCAGCAGGAGCCACCGAACCAGCCCCGAGCCCCACCCTCGTGCTCCCCACCTTGCGGAGGCGGAAAGGGCTGCTGAGCCCACGCGGGCGCTGGACCGGAGGCAGAAAGATGGCAGGAGCTGCTGGCTGGTCACACCTGAAGTCCCCCTGCTAGGGCAGGTATCGGGTATGACCCAGAAGGAGCAAGCTAACCACAACCCCTGCATCATACAGCGGCCGGAGCTGCTCTTGTGCTGCTTCTGCTTGCTGGGGCAGCCGACTGCACCTCCAAGTTCCCCTGCTCCAAGACACAAGTGGCTACGGACGCCCATACAGGCAGGAAGGATGCTGACATTTCTAAGCAAGCTACTGCACAGACTCGGGATGTCAAGGACAGACGGATCACCAGACCGCGGTGGGCCAGGGGCCGGGAGGGCGGCTGCTGGCAGACTGTCGGACGCCGATGACCACAGCACGTGTGGGGAGCGGGCTGGTGGAAGCTTCAGGCCAGCAGCATAGGCAACGAGAGGAGGGGAAGCAGCACGCAAGCTGTCTTGAAAGACACCCGCTTTCTTCGGCACCGACTTGACTTTCTTGCAAAACAGCAGCTGCGTGCTTTCACTTCTGTGTCACAGATAAGCATCGCTCAGAAACAGCCTCGCCGAAGGCTTCGGGCTCTGCACCGCTGACTATTGGCACGGGGCAGATGGGTTTCGCAGGCAAATTTGGGCCCTACTGACACGGCACTGAGAATACCAATAGCGAGGATCAGGGCTGGGTCTGGCCCAGGCAAAGCTGCTTGGTAGGCAGGAGCGCTGCCGGGCGCTCGGGTGAGACAGATAGCATCTGCCAGAGGTCAGCCATTCCCTGCCTACCTTCTGCCTTCTTTAAGGGCAGCGTGATAAGGAAGATAGCATCAAACTGTCGCTGAGAGAGACACTCAGGTCATGGGTGATATTAGCTGGGGAGGGGGCATTAACTCTGCAGGCACTGAGATTGTCTGTAAAGGCATCAGCAACTTCCTAAGCAGGTCCACACGGAAGGACAGCACCACAAAGGCAAAACCAGCCTTGCAGATGAGAGACCAAGGTCCGGCGTGCACTCCCTCCACCTTTCTCGCCCCTCTTTCCTCCTTTCGGCCCTCAAACACG